CCCCCCGAAACAAAATCAACAATTAATATCAAATTCTCATGTAATTTGTGATAAAGTTGAACAACTAAAAACGCTGCTTATTTTTAATTCTCACTCAATAGCTTCCAGGTCTCATGATACTAAAGCTAACACTCCCTATTGCCACAGAGCAATCACATTCACCAGTATAACCCAGTTTGTCCCGCCTCCCTCCGCTTTTAGAATGAGGATGTTCCTGATAGAGGGGGAGGAGCAGGATGAATGAACAGGAGGATGGAGGAGGGGAAGAAAGAAGCGAGGGATTTGGGGAAAGATGGTGATGATGGGGGTGGGAGGAAGGATGGAGGAAGGATGGAGGAAGGAGGCGATGAGTCACTTCTCTGACCTAGATCCCTGTGGTCTACTTTTTTTTTTTACTCTGATCACGCCCAACTGTGTGTGGGTGTGGGTGTGGGTGTGGGTGTGTGTTGGCATGTGCAAGTGGTCAGTCTTCTGACAGCCAATCAGACACATTCTACACCTAAGAGGTTTGTTAGAACTAACAGAGCAGGTTTATGTGAACATTATTAGTGCAAAAACAAGGTGATGGAGAGTGTGTGTGTGTGTGTGTGTGTGTGTGTGTGTGTGTGTGTGTGTGTGTGTGTGTGTGTGTGTGTGTGTGTGTTTGTGTTTGTGTTTGTGTGTTTATCTACATTTATCACATAGCAGTGTTGGCTTATGCTGGTAATATTGCCAAGAGCAACATTTTTACTAGAGAGACTTTGCCATGGATGACATCATGTTTCTGGATTAATTCAGACTGATTGGTCAACGGTTGACCAGCCTGTGCAATCAAATATTTATGAATATATGAAAGAAACTGGTCAATATCTGATGACATTAAGTAAGAAGGAATTTATAAATAAATATATCTAATGAAATGAATTTAGAAAAATATAAATATTTAAAATAAGATGTATATATTATACAAATGTTCTTTTGTTTTTTTTCCTCTGAAGCATCTACTAGGGTTTTCAAAGGAAGTTGTAAATATCTGTCGTCTTTTTTTTATAATGCCATGACCCTGTAAAAACGATATATAAAATTGTTGTTATTTTGGTTGCACAGGGGTTATTTATGGTGCTGCTAGACTGCTTGTAATTACAGTTACGTAACTCCTGTTGTGTACAGCTGGTAGGCGAGCAAACTGTTTTGGAACTGCAGTGAAAGTGCTTGTTTGGAAAGGCTTAACACCTACAAATACATATTGAAACAGAATTTTCCTTTGGATAAAAACATGTTGTGAATTTTGGTCATTTTTTTCAAAGCATTTTGACTTTTGAACTCAAATATCTAAAGAATTTTAAGAAATTAAAAACATTAAGACGGATTTTCCACTGTCGATTTGGAGAGCATCAGTATGAGAGTTATGTGCGGCATACCTTATTCCGTTCAACCCACTCATTTGAGGAATAAAAGACAAGGAGCTAGATTATCTATAATACGTAATCCAGTTTAAAATAATGAGATTGTCCTGCTGAACAAATAGGAGAGCTGAATGAGGAGAGAGCAGATCATTAAACCGCTTTGACATTTCACCGGAGCACCATTCAATCAGGCCAAACATTTACAATGACTCATAGTGTGTGTGTGTGTGTGTGTGCGTGCGTGCGTGCGTGCGTGCGTGTGTGTGTGTGTGTGTGATTGAGTCATCGCTCAATTTGCATTAACAATGGCTTGCAGCAACACCCCCATAGTGTGCAGCTCATCAATAATCTGAGAAGACAACATAACGTTTCTGTTTTTGTAATCTGTTAAATAACATACTTGACAGCTAGGGTGGGTAATGTGTTTAAGAGACATTGTTGTCATATATGCAATTAGTTGGAATTCTCTTTACATCCTGACAGCAATCGATAAATGCAATTGTTCTGCTTTGACAAAAAGAAAAAGGAAATTTTGAATCTTTCGCAAGAGAATAACCCTTAAAAGCACGGGCTGTCAGTGTTGTGAACGTTTGGTAGTATAGGTTTAGTACTTGTTTCATACAATTCAGTATGTATCCAATTAAAACCTTTGGAATCTGTCTCCGTTTGTTTTCAGGTTGGTGTCACCCTTCAATCCACAGCTGTTTCCAGTAGGAACGTCCTCACATGGGAAATACATCTCTGTCCTTCCTGTTGTCACATGTGCGTATGTGTGTCCCCTGAGTGTAAAGGCAATGGTGGCTATGGAGAGCGCTGTGGGGACTGGCAGGTGTTTTTCAACAGGACAATATGTACCTGGGCTCTCTGACTCTCGTTCTTTAATGACTTATAAACACACACACAGCCAAGCATTTCATCGTTCCCATGAGAAGTGCTCACGGTTCACTTCTCTATTCCTATATATATCTTTCTTCTTTCTTTGCCGTATTGTGTCAGTCCTCTAGAGTCTTAGTAGTGTTGTTGCTTCTATAATTGACACATAAGGGTTTTCCCAAAGAACTTCCCAATTGTCACTTCTGCTTTGGTTATACAGTACATTCCTATTTTGTGCGTGTGTGTGTGTGTGTGTGTGTGTGTGTGTGTGTGTGTGTGTGTGTGTGTGTGTTTGTGACAGTGTTTTGAGCAAATAAATAAAATCACCTTAAGGAAGACATCTGTAAGTTTAGTTCCAATGCAGTTTCTTGGTCCGTTGCCGAATGAACACAGGAAGTGCTCCTGGCCTGCGTTCCTGCAATACAAGAAATACGTGGTTACAGATAAAAATGCAAAAAATGGTATTCCAGCATTAATAGAAGTACACTTTGTTTATATCTCATTCAGAAATTAATGCGAGTGTGGGAAGGGAACATTCTAGCAGACTAGGCTTGGACTATATGTTGAATTTCCCTGTCTAACCCGCCAACTTTAACCAACCTATTGGTGATTGCTGATATATCTGCAGTATCTGTGTTTGTGGCCTGAGCTAAGCTTGGTTTAAGGGAGTCCCCAAACCCAATTTTCTGCAAATGTAATCATGGAAGAGCTTGGTGCAACAAAGAATACAAAATAACCTATAGAGTATAACTATATCTTTGAACTTGTCGCAACCACAACCACACCAAAATGAACAATTAGAATACAAAAAAATCTTCTTTAAGTGTCTATTATGTTTTAGAAAAATGATGAACACACTGATGTTGAAATGACTTCGAACTGGATAAATAGGACAATCCAAAGTGCATGTCATTGGCCTTGACAGAAGTCGTTGCTATCTAAATGCTATATTTGGAGAGCTAGTTAGTTCTGTTTTGAGCATCAAGAGAAAATCACATGGACAGAAATAAACCTTCACAGCGCAGGCCTGAGACAACAACTTGACACAAGCTGACTCTCTGATTCTCCGCCATATCACTCTAACTATATATTTTTTCTTTAAAAAATATATAATAAACAAAGAGATTCTGGTTGTATCCATCTGACAGGTTTGTCAACAGGCTTCTTATGCAGGCCTTCTCTCCCCTCTCACCACTAATGCATCCTGTCTTCCTGAAACCTGAGCTCTGATTAAAGGCAAACAGGAAGCATTAGCAGTGTGTATCGTCTGGGTCCAGTGTGTGAGAGGCTTTGTGTTTGTGAGAGATAGAGAGAAGGGAGAATGTTAGCGTTCTCTGCAGCATCTGTCTAATGGTTTAATGTACAATTAGGTTCATCCTGAGAGAGCAAGATGTGCAGCAAGGCTGAGACAGGGAGAGAGAGGAAGTCTTGCAACGCAGTCCAGCATGAGTCTATATCAAATATGCTCAATGGGTCGCAAGGCAATGAAAGAAGTCTCATCTATTGTACAGTATCATTTATTTGTTCTTACTATAAAGTATGAAAACAAAGCAGTTTAAAACGCCACAGCAGAGCTTTGAGGCTAATAAGAATAACATTGAATATGTCTTGTAAAGTATTTGTTGTTTTGAAGGCTTTAAAAGTCAAAAATGCTCAAAAACCAGATCTGACTTTGTGCCCATATATTCTTTAACTTTAATTCTATATACAATGAAGAAGTTGAAAAGTAACTGGTAATCAATTGTAAATTCAACTTATTCAAACTCAATTTATACTGTACCAAATTATTTAATTATTTCTAGCAAACTTTAAAGACATTTTAGGAAATTACAAACTTGTAAAATAAAACATCCAATCTGCTATCAGTGATGGATTATAAATATAAAAATGTACTCAAGTCTCGTACTTAGGTAAGTACTATTTTGATATACTTGTACTTTACTTTACTTGAGTATTTCCATTGTAATGCTTTCATACTACTTGTTACTACACTACATTCATTTAACACTAATAGTTAGTAGCTACTATTTACATATTCAAAAACATAATATGATAATATGATAGGACACAGTTTTGTACTACTAACCTAACCAGGATTTGAAAGACGAGCCGTTCTGCATACTGAATATTATTTTGATACTTGAAGGAAATGTTGCAGTTCTTAAATTATAAGTAGTATTATAAGGCTTTAAGAGTTTACTTTTACTTAGGAAAGGATCAGAGTACTTTTTCCACGTCTGTCTATCAGGTTTAAATGAATAGAACAATTCCTGAATGATACGTACAATTGTATTCTTCCATTAAAACACAGCCCATGAAACACCTACATAACCATGGTAACATTCTAAAAGGACTTAAATGCATACAGTGGTTTATTTATAGAATGGGAGAAAAACGTATCTAGCAACCAAAATCTAATTTGCTATCTTATATTTAAATGTTAATTTAAGCTTTGTGTGTAGACACAAAGGAAACTCCCATGTTCTGAGATTTATTTAAAACTAGTAACACAACCCGCTGCAGTAGATTGGATTTGTATCAGTGTTTGGTTTCCGATCCATTTATCTACGGCCGGAGCCTGTGTGGGCGTTTGGCTGAAAGGATGTTAACCTGCCGGCTCTACTATTAGCCTCCAACTGGAAAAGCACACAAACACACAGACCGATGATACAGCACACACACGAGCAAACAATATATGCAATTATGGCACAGAAGCACACACAGATGATGTGGCTAAATGTAGTTATTGTATGTTGGGCTTGTTATGTAACAGGACTGCAGTCATTAAGTCAAACAGCCAGGTGGCAAGGAAAGGAGCCAGGCAACTATCAAGGCAGACAGGAAGAGAGTCTCCAGGAAGACGGACAGATGGAGAGAGAAAGAGGCAGGTAGGAGGAAAGGGAAACAGACCGGAAGGTAATTAGAGGGTTTAAAGAGTTCATCCAGCAAACAAACAAACAGACAGACAGAGAGACAGGAATATCCTGGGGGAGATGCACTGGTTTGAGCAGCAATTAAGACACAAACTAGAACAATATATAAATCCAAACTCCTGCACATACAATTATTTTATCTGACATCCCAGAGTCAAACAGCTCACACATATAGTTGGATTTCATAAAAAAATAGGATGAACAATTTTGTTTTTAGTAAAGAAATACTCAAACGGACCAAAGAGGGTATTTTTGGGGTAATAAGTATTGAGTTTATCAATTTTGTGTTGTTATCAAAATCACCGTCCTTATTATAAATGTAAAGAAAAATAATAATTATAATAAAATTCAAACAGCCTGACAAGTTGAAATGAAATTAATATACCCAAAAGTATCAAATATAGCAGGTAATAAGGTGAAAATATAACGATAATTTATTTTAAAGTTCATGATTAATTAAATATTTTGCAAGTAAATTATTGATTAGTTGTAATGGCAGCAGCATCTGGGATTAAAGCAAATTTAACAGTTATTAATTGCAATGAAGGATCATTAGTGTGGCTCAATGTAATAGCTTTTGACCACAATGTAGATCTACACAGAAATATTTGCTACTGTTTTTATTGGGATTTTATTACTTTGATACAACACAAGACTTATCCTGAAGTATCATGTTTTGAGCTATGAATACAATTTTAGGGCATGCCAATGTTACGTTTGTTATTATTTTTGTTATATTTTTCTTCATCCTTGCTAGAGTTTACATCATAATGTCTCCTATGACTAATTTCTAAACCCCATCCCAAGGGAAAGGGCAGGATGTACACACACTCACACGCCCCTCACCAACACAAAGCGCAAGGGGAATCCCCATTGGTAAAAACCAGTATGAGGTAGATAGTTACCATGGCAGCAGCTACCCGTCTATCCATTCATAGATTTATGTCATTAACATAGACTTCAGTCAATTTTAAATGTTACACATTACCATTAATTGTGTCATGCATAAGCAGATCAGCACAAATATCTTCCTTTATCAATATATTTCAAGTGTAATGTATTTCCAAATATAATAATGAATATATTTTTCAAATATTATTATTCTAATGTATTCATCAATATTTTATTTTTTTTTAGTGAAAGAATTTTGAGGCTATAAAAAATATCTTGAATGGATGAATAATAATAAAAAAGGAAATATACTTTTAACCTAAAGCACTTTGAATCGCCACGTGCTGAAAAGTGCTATATAAATAAAATTGCCTTGCCTTGCCTTGCCTAGTGATTTAGGTTTGGCTGAAGAACACATTTAATTGTAAAATAAATCGTTTTTCTATAAACTGAATCATTGTTTGACCTTGACAAATGTTCACCAAGCAGTAGAGGACAATCAGACACTGCTTTACGATAATGAAAAAAAAAATGCTTAAACTGATGCAGTTAAAAGTGTGTGGGGGGGCTTCTTTTTACTTGTCAATGCCACTAAAATCATTTTAGTGGTTATATTTAACAGGGAAGCCCCAGACTAAAAGACGACATTTTTATATTAGAGGAATCACCCAGCAGGATAGGATCATCTCTGACTCATTTTTCTGTATACCATCCGACTCCACAGGACTCCACAGGACACACACACACACACACACACACACACACACACACACACACACACACACACACACACACACACACACACACACACCTGGGGGAATCCCTATTGGTAAAGAAGGTGTCAGGTGACTAGTTTCCATGGCAGCAGCCACCTACATACATACATTCATTCATAGATTCCCCCCACCCTGCTGCTCTATCGCCTGAATGAACAAGCATGAATGAGAATAAAAAGGTGAATGGATGGAGTGGATGAATAGAAAATCGGTTCAATGAGAGAGTGAACTGGTAAATATCAGGTTCCATTTTTAACAGAGCAGGTAGCAGAACGAGTGAGATGAAAAAACAAAAGCTGTTAACATGTGTGTCCTTAGTATTGTTTTCCTCAAATCCAATCGTTATAGCTATCTCACCGTGCACTACAGTATATGTGAGAGTGATCCCGTCATATTTGTGCTTTATCTGCATCGATTGCCATGGCAACAATGTGGGCGTGCGTATATGTGGGGTGATTTTACAATAAAAAAATCATGAAGCAAGCTGCAGTCTAGACACTTAGACTGAATATATTATGAGTCTGCTTTGAATGGAAATATTATTATGACTAAATGAATAGATGTCATTTCATGTATCTAGAAAAAACACAAACTGTTGCCAACCTGCAATCTGATCAGGACTCATGAAATGGGCAAGATCATGGTCAAATATATAACTCAGCACGGTGTATTATATATTAATCAATTTTATATAGACTGTAGCTGCATAGATTTGTATTGAGTGCCATCACAATACCCACAGAGAGAGAGGATTATATTGTTCTTGTTTTGATGGGTTCATCAACATCGATTGGTGTATAAATGGTATAATATACAGTACACATAAATGTAAAAACACTAAACCTCATACATTTTTCTTTTGAATTCCAATTACTACTTGTGTTGTGTTTCCTTTTCTTTTATCTTGAATGTATTAACTCTGTATCTCTTTACTGTAAGGAGTACGCACCACAATCCAATATCCGACATGAGGTCTAAGCTTAATAAACGGAAACACTAAACAACAAATCTCAGCTCGTTACCTCCCGCTCCATCTCTCCGGCAGGAAGTCGTCCGGCTGCTGGAACACCTCCGGGTCCCGGTGGACGGAGTGGCTGATATAGATCGCCCCGTAATCCTTTGGGACATGAAACCCTGCGAGCGTGGAGTCCTAAACACACACAGAAGGAGAAATCACATTTTTATATCCTATTTTGAAAACGGATAATTCACTGAGAGTTGGAAAGTAAGATGTTCTCCTAAATGACCATTACTGAACCTGATTAGATAAACGTACTGCTAATGTGCTTAGCATTTTTTTTTTTACCTTTTATTATCAAAGCGCTTGTATTTCAAAGACTTTAAAGCAGATGTGTCTGTTATGACATTTTTTGAAAATGTAAACACAATGTTACCTGCAATAACGCAATTTATATGCTTTAATATGTTATTAAAAAACCTTTTTACCAAAACATTATGGGAGTTATCTTCAAAACTGATGTGCTGCTCAAATGAAACATTTGTTCCACTTTTAATAAAATGTCCCCTAGTGGATTTTCAATAAGCTTTTTATTGAAAGGATTCAACTAGGGGCAAAAAGACCACTTGCCCATTTGTTGCCCTTTTAATTCACCTTTGCACTACATCCATTAGTAGCTGCACTAATGGACTGCCACAGAACGGGATCACTGTTTTGTGTTTCTTCTCCGCTTCTCTTTTCTGTAGTGGAGAATCTTTTAACAATCTTTTTATTTTTGTACTGCTTCTCACTGAGAGATGCCTCTGCCATTGCTGAGTTCATTTCTCTCCCCCTCTTGTTCTAAGACACACACATGCACAGTAAACACACTATTGCATATTTTAGTTCTACCTGGATGAAGCTTCTACTTTTTCCACCTGATCGTGAATACTAATAATCTCTGCCTTTTCTAGACGCCTCCCTGCACACACTAACATCTCATAAACTCTTTACCCTCCAGTTCACACTTGCTTTTCTTTGTAACACTGGTGTTTGAGGTTATAAAAAAGGTATTGTCAGAGGTGAGGGCAACTCTTTCTGTTTGGGATCCTTGTTAATCATTTTATGTTAAAACATAACTGAGTAGAAAGGAAGATTTAAAATCGCATGTCATTCTTATCTGGCAAAAATTATTTTGCTCCAGGATATAATCATCAAAACATGCTTAAAACCCTTAAAATGTCAATTAAACAAGGGCTACTGAAATTGCTGAAGTCACACTTGTATTGGCTAGCGCTCCAACACGTTGAACGTGATTGGCTAAGGGGTTGGAAATCTTTAAGGGGTTGACCCAGACCCGGCGCCGTGGGGGCCAGGGCCAGGCCCTCCCATCTGACATTCCTGCCCTCCCCCAATAAACACGTTTGTTTTTATTATAAAAATATATATTCTTTTTTTTTATTATAAACTGTGAACTTTAGTGCTACGATGTATGTGATGTCAGATATTAATATAAGAGTAATAAATGAAAATCAGCTATGAAATACTATATGACATTAAAACAAGAATACAGTTTAAAAGGGGAGTGATTAGTAAAATATCCATAAAGAAAAATCTGTTTACAGTTCTGTTTCATATGGGTGTTGCTGTCGAGAGATGTATCCATAGATCTCTTGATGTTGCTCTCAAAATGCACCATATTGATGCTTTTAACTTCAATATTATTTTTTTTTAATTAATTCTTCATTGTAGAAGTCGCGGGTGTACTGTGTATGTGCGTGTGGGGGGTGTTGCAGTAGAAAATTCAGCTGTAGCGCCCGGGACATTAATGGGAAACCCTAAATGTCTGATCACGTCAAGCTACCCCACAGCACCCCCAAAAGAAAATCTCTGGCGCCGCCACTGGCCGCGGCACATGGCGGTTTTGTGTGCCCTCCCATGAAAATCATATGCCCTCTCTGTAGATTTGTGCTGGCGCCGGGTCTGGGTTGACCAATCACAAATGAGTCGGCTAGCTAACCAATCAGAGCAAACTGAGTTCTGGTTTCAGACAGAGGGTGAAAAGAGGTGCTGCAGCACAGGCAGTAGGAGAAAAATAAAGAGCTTTTTGAACATTAAAGCATGTAGACATATTACAGTAGTGGCACAAAATACAAAAATGAACCTGCAATTTAGAATAATATGTCCTCTTTGAGAAACATTTATCTTAGATCCAAAAAGGACTTTGTTATATCCTTTTAAGTGAAAAACAATCCTAAATAAGGTAATCGTAATAAATGATAAGGTCCCCCTGAATCAATAAAGGCTGAACATAAAAACATTCTATAAAAAAAGATCAAGAAAAAGAATTTGATTAATCTGGATTTGGTTACATTATGTAGGCAATATTGGCTCTTTGTCATCAATTGCAACTGTAAGTAGTCTTAAAAAGAGCTACTATTGTACATCTACTATTTTTATATTGTCTACTTGATCCAGCATAGATATTGTTGAACTCTTTCCCCCCTTGATAATAACTAATCCATGTTGCGTTTTTGTATATTCTTCTATATCCTGACCCTTGTGGATTCCTACTTATTTCTTCTCAAACACCCACTATTCAGGAACCAGTATCCCAACGAGTCTGTCAGGAATCAGAGTGTACCGGTGCGTTTGCCAGAATTGACAAATGACTTTCCACTCGGCTTCACAGAGTCACCAGCAGCGCACATCAATCCCACCGCCAAGCTCCGGCCACCCCACACCCTTCCTTCCTTCCGGGGAAGCGGAGCCAATCAATCGCAGAGACGGATCGATTGCTCTGATTGAGCTGTTATGTAAGTCTGTTTGATGAGGTCATAGTGATCAAAACAGAGCCGGTGCGAGGGTTAGCAGCAGTCCAATAAAGAGACGGGACTTTGGCTACATTTGGGATTCTATTGGCTCACAGTGTTGATGTCATACCAGAAAGCAATCACTTTAATACATAAAAATCAATGGTGGAACAAATATACAGTAGGCCTACGGAATATCAGCTGCTTATGTGTATAGCACGCAGATGTACACAACATAACAGGTCATAAACGAGAATATTAAAAACTTAAATAGATAATAAGTCAGTAAACAAATGGATATGATGGCTGCATGGAGCTTTTTAGAATAAACAAGGCATGTACATGTTATAAAACAGGCATGCAGTAAATACCAGTCCAAATAAATGCCAGTTGCATGTCTAATGACATTTCACGTATCATGTTGCCATTAAAACACATGCTGCTTAAATAGTGTGAGTCAGACCTCTGTGAGAACGGACATGCATGTTAGTTTTAATAAATGTAATGGCACTTGTTTACCTGTCTTGTTCTACTGCACTTTCTGTCACACCTGCAGAAAAACGTTCCAAAAGGAAAAGTCTCAAATAAATCTGAAAAAATCACTATTAACTAAAAGTAAGATTGACCATCTGGCATTATTTAGTGCAGGACTTGTAATATTTACTATAAGGTGTTTGTGTTTCAAAATTGGTAGTGTTCCGAACACACAAGAAGACATTGACAGTAGATCATTTTATCTACACAGTAACATGTGATGTCGCCATCTAGTGGAGAGGAGAGTGAGGCAGAAACAGCTAAACATAAGGGGAAAATAAATCCATAAAAAGGAACAAATAAGACTCTCATAATGTGTACAGAAGGAGGACTTTTAGCACTAAAGTCAGTTTAAGAACAGGTTCTGCCCAGGAAGAAATTAAGTTACCCTGTGATGATTTAAGGTTAAACTTCTTAGTTGTGTCATTCATTTCATTCAACATCCTTAAAAGACTTAAGTAGCAGTACATTTTCCAACAATAATGGCCATGAAAACATTTCAAAACCTAAATTCTTAACGCTTCAACATTGGGTGCAGTGCAGACAATTATTTGTAAAGACCAAATCTGATTGTGAAATGGCTTCATAGAAGAGAAGGTCCTATAAGTAATACTGGATCTCTCAAACTTAAAGGTCCCATGTCATGGCCATTTCTACTGATCATAATTTCATTGTTGAGGTCTACTAGAATAGATTTAGATTGTTACATTTTCCAAAATCATCAAAAACTCTCTGTCCTAAACGGCTTGTTGGAGCTCCTGCCCCCCCCCCCTGTGAGCCCACTGTGCTCTGATTGGTCAGCTCGCTCACTCTGTTCTGATGAGTCCACCACCGTTACAGTGGAACATCAGTGATTATGTGTTACGATGGCGTTTGTTAGCAACCAGAATATGACACCAGTAAGGACAAACAGATGAGAATGCTGCGTGGGGTCTGGGTGCCGTGTTGGCGAGACGTTGCGGGGCTCGCTACTGCGAGGAGCGGACAGTGTGAGCTGGGTTAATTTCCTGCTTGCTGCGTGGGATCTGCGAGACAGTGAGACATGGTGAATGGACACGGGAAGGGGGGGGGGTGCTGAGGGGGCTGCAGCACCCCCATCTGCGAGGCTCCCCCCCCGCACCCCCAAACGCAGCGCACCAACGGTGTAAGTCCGCCACAGTTTCGCCGCTGCGAGTGTGTCTGTGTGTGTGTGCGTGTGTGTGTGTGTGAGGAGCTCCACAGATTGGTTCATTTGGACCAATGGGTCCATTTGGGTATGGTCACGTCACTGTACCCAGGAAGAAAACGAGAAATCTCCAACGAGGCGTTCTGGGGCAGCATAGACAGGTATTTTCTGTGTCAGAGTTTTACGAGCTACAGGGTGTACTTTGAGGGTTTGTGACTTTGCAGATGGTTTACATGCAGAAAAAGCTACATAACACACAAGGGGACGGGTAATAACCACAAAAGCATGACATGGGACCTTTAACAAAGGATAAGAAGTAATCAATACTTTTGAACACGTACAAATAAACACTGTGCCACCAGGTGAACAGTCCTACCTTATCAGTTATTCTTCGTCCACCAATAAAAGGAGGCCAAAGTCTCTGAACCTCCAGCAGCACTAAGCGCAGGTAATCAGGGTCTTCTAATAGTCGGCGGCGGGTCTGCTCGTGAACAAGGAGGTAAATGTTCATGTTATTTAAAAGCTGAAAGACAAAGGGCTACTTAATGTATGGCACGGATTTATAGTTATTCCATAGGCCTACATTTTTGCTCAGGTGAAAAATAAATAATTTTTATCGTTTTTTCCTATCAGCGAGCACAGTTTAGACGTTGTTTGTTACCTGCGGGTCTCCACTGAGAGCCAGTGTGAAGGAGGTGAGCAGCGAGGCCAGAGCTTTAGGGATCAGAGCTGAGATGAACAGCAGGAGATGCTGGGAGGCAGAACTGGAGTCTGGCAGCGGCAAAGAACCAAGGGATCCGACAAACCTAGAAGGAGCCGAAGTAGCAGAGAGGAGGGAACATTATTGAGATCAAAATGCCATATCAACAAATCACTACCAATTCATATCACAGTAATTATAGCCAATCCACACATAAAGGAGATGAAAGGCCTCTGATTTATGGCAGAGAGGGGGTATAGTTATGCATAAATGCCACTAAGTTGAGCAGTAAGCATCAAAACATCTGATTTTACCAATAAGATTTAAAGGTCTCCTATTATACTGTTTTTCATCAATATATTATAGTTCTCCGATATATACAAAACATGTCTCTGAAGTGTTTGGCTCCAAACACCAGAACAGATCATTGCAGCATCCCATAATCCCCTCCTGTTTCCTAGCCCTGTTTCCAAAGTGCTGATTCTCTGTCTGTTACTTTAGATCAAAAATAAGGAGCCCTCCCCACGCCCCTCTGAGAGATATTTGGTTTCAAAGAACACAATGTTGCTCTAGGAGGAGATTCAGGTGATACGGTGGGGGGGGGTTACCTTGGTTGGTTATTGGCTAATGGTTACACAAGCCAAAAAATCGTTATGACATCATAAAGTGGCCAAAATCTGATCAGATCATTTCAGAGACAGGGTTTTATAGAAATGGATCAGAAGAAAAAGAAAGCAAATCTTTTTTCCTGAAACTTTCAGAATCTCTTTTCACAGAGGGGGGCACACAAGTTGATGTAGAAAAGACATGAAAAGTGGATTTGGCATAATAGGTGACCTTTAAGTAGTATCAAAATATCTGATATTAGTCATGTTCCATTGTACCCGTAAAACTAAGAGAAGTTGGTTTCGGTTTAAAAGTATGATGAGAGGGCAGACTAGCAGAGGAAGATCAAAAACCTTAAAAAGGAACTGTGTGTTTAAGACAGTTACATACAGTCAGTGCACATTTGCCGGTCCACGCCTGTTTGTCATTCTCTAGTTTGTCTTTGATGATGTCCATCAGTTTGTCTCTCGCGGCGTCCAGAGCTTGGAGTACTCAACACGACGACACAGAGGACCTTAGGCTGACGGTGGGGCCCCGAGATCAGACTGCTGGGTGGCAGGGGAGGAGTTCAGCAAATTTATAAAACACACAAAAACACACACCAAAACAGTCATGAATTGAATGGTTCTGAAATAAAAGAGAGGGGAAGTGAAAATGTTGCAACCAATATATTGGCAGAACAACAACGCCAACTTACTTTGTCTTACTGCTGTAAAAAAGGATATGGGTGCAACAGTTTACTTTTCTATCATAGAGAGAGCAACTGTAGGAAGGTCAGGGTAGTTATGCGTCCTGACCTAGCTGCTTATTTTGTCACCTATAAATAAGAGGGTATAGTTTTGTTTTTGTGTACTTGTATAAATTCCCAACTTGTATATATCTTTTTCATCTTTTTTATATTTGTATTTTCATTTTGTTATGCTATTATTTCAATTTCGTGACCTATTTTGATGCGTGGTTTATTCTTACACTCCTCTGAATTTTTCGTATGGTTCGATTGCCTGCTGTTTTTTGCTGCTGCATAAACATTTCCCAAATTGGATCACAAGCACTACCTATCTATATATCTATCTTTCGTAACTGTCTATCGATCTCTACAAGCATATGAGTCGTGTTCCAATACCATGCCAGTGCAGGTGCGAGGCTGAGATTTCTGGAGAGTTCGGGCTGCTCTCCGCTCGTACATTCAAAAAGGCCCACACAACTTTCCCAGAACGCTTTAAAAGGGCCTCAGAGTAACCACTTGGCTGCCCGACGGCAACGACACAACACAACACAGGACAAACACACAACGCACACACCACAGCAAACACACACCCACAACACACATCACACACCACACAACACACCAACACACACCACAACCAACCACACACACACACGACGCACGACACAACCACACAACACACAACCATCAAACCACTAACACACCAGCACACGGACAGCACAACAACAAAAACAAATCTAACCCACGTTCATGAAGTGCTGGTTATTTTTTTGTTTACAGTACTTATTATATTTAGTTTGTTAACTATTTGCATTCCTGCTTTATCGTGCGTAAAAGCAGAATGTGTCCTTTTAGCCGAGGGTGGATGTTGTACCTGGATTAGAAGGTCTTCCAGACAGGCGATAGCACTGTGAGTTAAGAGTTGGAACACACACACACCACCACACACACAACAACCCACACACAACACACCCACACACACACACACACACACCACACACCCACACACCCACACCACACACACACTACACACACCAACAACACAGCACCACACCACACCACACCACACACACAGCACACACACAACCCCAAAGTAGTTCCGAATAGTCTTTCAAAATGATGTCCTTGTCAGTGATGAACATCCGTCATCTATGGACAATCAATAGCAACATATTTTGGTAATACCGAGCATTTCCAATATTGATATGTTTACACAGTGTAATATTTTAGGGCCGTTTGTGTCCACACCACGAGGGCACAACGAGAGCTGGGGCTTGATCGGCAAAACTGATTGTTTTTTGGGTAGCTGTCGGCCTAAATTCACAAGACATGTCACGCACGGTTGACCACACGGTAGAGGTACAATCAATCTGAGACTCTACTCGACCCTGTTTTAGCTATCTGAGAGAATAATCTAACATTGTGCATAACAAGATGAACCATGACACCTTATTCATGGACTGGCCAACAGGCAGGCAGGGAACCAACAACAACATGAGACACATCAGCCCAGTTACAGGTGGTTGGCTCGTCTGGTTAAAACGAAATTAGGGCCCCCTTGGACATATTCCTAAATCATCTAACTTCGTCGTTCTTCCTAAATGAGTGTTTCGACCATGTCACTCTACATAAACCAAATATTCCATAGCATATTATCAAGAATAATCGTTGGTTACTTTTTTTTTTAAACGATGAGCCAGGAACCTGGTAGATATAGTCAATTATGATTTCAACTACTTCCTGTGAACAGCTGTGAGAGCGTATCACGACGGAGTGAAAAGCAGCTTTCTGTTTCTTAAAACAGTCAAATGCAAATGGATCGATTTTGAGATCTCAGTCAAGCACTTATTTTTGAGGATCTTTTGATATGGCATTCCGTCTTTAGGCTTGTAGTATTTATCATGTGGATGCATCTTGAAGTACTGTGTTGCTTTAGCTAGTGTCTTTGTATGTTATATACAGGTACCCTAGGTATTTAGTTGCCTGTGAACACTCACTCCATTGCTTGAGTGTAAAGCACATTTTTGCTTCGTTGAAAGCTCTGGTTTGAGTCTATTTGGTGTTGTTCAGTGTTATGGCTTTTTACCATTTGTGTGGATAACGGCGTCCGACCATACATGTTGGTCACATGATTGGATCCTTGGAGACATTGGATTTCGTCTGAGCACACAAACATGATGAGGGAAGAGCCAATATTTTTTTTGTAAGCAAACACACACATCAATTCAGGTATAAAACACACGGGAATGCCCGGGATGTAGTTGTGTTTATGGCAGAATGGTGCGCATGTAAAAAAGCGGGGCATGTGTGACGAGATTCCAATTAACGTACAAAATACGTTAAGTAATGAAATACATCTTTTGTATCGAAAACAACAGAGGGCTCTAACGCAAACAGCTATTATTTAAATGTTTGTTTTTTTAATTCTATATTGTTATCAATTTAATTTTTTTATTATATAATGTATAGTCTGTTTTATATGCTTTTTAATTTTATTTTTCTTTGTATTTGAAGATATTACTTTATTAATCTCCCGTCTCTTGTATTTTTTCTTTTTTGTCTGGCGCCTTTTCTAGTGTTATAGGAGCAGTAGCTGCATTTCTTTGAACGTTGCCTCCGTGCTCGTGTAGGAATGGTTGTCTTGATCACAGAGTGATCACTCGTAGCTGACTATTGCTCAAA